CGTTCTACTGCCTCAACCCTCCTGGGGGTCACCCCCTCTCTTATCACCTCCCTATTCCCTCCCCTATGAGTCATGCAAGTGTCAAGGGTCCCTCAGTCCTAGTTGGATGGATGTCCTGGGCTCCCCAGCCCTTGACGCTGCCTTCTCTCAGTTAGCAGGTTCACCCAGGGACCCTCTGTGCTCTGAACCTTGGAATACCTTCAGAAGCACCTGGCGTGCTCGTTACTAAATAAGTTTCATTCGGTGTTGTAGTCGAACAGAAGAATCGCAAGTTCAAGGCCAGTCTGACCAACTTAGCATGACCCTGTCTCTAAAGGCAAAACACTCCAAGTGGTCCTGGCCCTACCTTAGCCCTTCTCATTCAGACTGATGACAGATAGACACACAGACTCCAGAAATGCATCAGGAGTTACTCATAATCAGCAAGTTTGACCAGATTGCCATGGTTAGAGAAATGGTCACTTTTAGGAGGTCTGAAGGCAAGAAAGTCAATCCAAAATGCTCTGGCTTGGGGGGCTGAGTGTCTTGCACAGAAGATGAGATGGTTATTTCCTGTCTGCTGGCCAGGTTGGTTCCTGTCTTATGCCAGCTGGTTGGGAATATGCTGGAGACCCCTGTTGAGGTGACAGGTTCTCATGCTGGGGACAAATCGGTGGCTCAGGCGCCCTGGTGGGTGGGCATGAAGTCCAGCCTTCACCACCCCCACCGTGCCTCTGGTTGCCACTGAAGCTGCCCATGGAGCTGTAGCACCTTTGGCATCTGCACCCAAGAGGAGCAGTCAACACATCCAGCTTTGTCCAAGAGAGTCCACACTTGGCCCCATCCACCGTCCCACCTGTTACCAGCCCTCTTTATCCTTCCCCCAAAACTCCACCAATGGCCCCTCAGAATTCTGAACTGTACCAGGCAATGCAGCACCAGGACAGGAACTGGGAGAGCTGCAGGCCTGGGCTTAAATCCTAGGGAAGTGTTTCCCCCTGTAAAGCAGTGTAACAGTTAACTGATTGTGTCAGCTTGAGTAAGAAACACCCAACTAAACTGCATCAGCATAGTTCTCAGCATGGCCGAGGGCATTTGCTGAGGACAGAATTCTACCCTAAGGAGGACTGTCACCTGAACAGTATAAAAGGAAAACAAAGAAGGAAAGGTCACTTCTGTTTCTTTGGAAGAGCTGAGTCTGCCTTTACCTTGGATGTCATCTCCTGACTTCCAGTGGACTCTTCAGCTTCCAGCACAGACCCTTCAGCCTCCTGATACAGACTTGTCCAGGACTCAACAATAATGGATCTTTTGGGTTTCTAATGCCCAGCAGATCTTTTCTGCACCCTCCGATACCTGGCTCTGGGAAGCCACTGCAAGCCAATCTCGTAAATTCTTCTAGATTGTACATCTTGCACTGAATCTGTCTCTCTAATGAGCACTGCCTGGCACAGCAGCAAGCAGGCATCATGGGCTGAGCTTGAGACGTGAGGAGAGACAACGAGGAAGCTCAGTGTTGTCTGAACCCACCTCTCTGTGCCTCTGTAACAATACGTCAGTTTCTTCGCCCCTCCTACCTGGTCACCGCCTTTGTAAAGGGGGCATGTGTTGGTTTCTTATGGTTGCTGAAAAGGTGGCTTAAACCAACCTAAGTTTTTGTTTTTTTAATTTTTAAAAATTTATTTATTTTTTATTTGGTACAAGGTCTTGCTACACTGCTTGGACTTGTAATGATCCTCCTGTCTCATCTTCCCCAGCACTGGGATTGCAGGCATGTGGAGCTGGTACAGCAGCAATAGCAAGGATTGAACCCAGGTCCTTGTGCTTGCCAGGCCAGTGCTTAGACCGCTGAGCTATCTCCCCAGCCCAAAGCAACCTAAGTTTATCTCACAGTTCTAGATGTCAAAAGTCCAAACTCCAGCTCAAATCAAGCTAGAATCCAGCTGAAATCAAGGTGTCGGCAGGGCTGTGTGACACCTAGAGTTTCTAAGGGGAAATCCTCGTCATCTGCAACTTCATGAAGTCCCATTCCACCTTCAAAGCCAGCAGATGGGCCTTATGGAGGAAGGAAGGGCGATGCTGGCTGAAGCCAGGTGGTATCTAGAGCTCACGATCCTGTGACCTTAGCCTTCTGCCTAGACTCTGTGCACAGGCTCAGCTCCCTCATGGCCCTGTGACTCGGGCTTAACCAATAAGAGCATCACAGCCCCAGGCACCCCAACAATGGTTTAAAGGAAGGATGGGCCGGTTCTGGTCACGCTAATGTCCATCCCCCTAGGGCCTTTGCTGGAGCTATACAGAGCCCTCCTTGCCCTGGTGTGGTAAGCTGGGAGGCTAACCTGGAGCCTCTGGGTCCAGCAATTGGGTCTGACCCAGGCAGGTGGAGGCCAGGGATGTGTGCCTGTAAGCCACTTCCTGGGTGGGCTGAAAAGTTAGACTCCTAAGTATTGGATCCCACTGCTGCTTTTTTTTTTAATTTATGTATTTGGTACAGGGTCTCACTATGCAGCTTGGACTTGGAATGATTCTCCTGTTTTCCTCCTCCCCAGTGCTGGGATTACAGGTGTGTGCCTAGACTCAGTCACCATCTCAGTATGCCCAGGGCTGGGGCCAGTGCAGCATGAGGGGCCAGGAATCAAACCCCCTTCCCTGCGCTTGCCTAAGCAGGAGCTTAGTCCCCTGAGCTATCTCACGCCCACCCTCTGCTGCTTTAACAGTAGCAAGTCACCCAATTTATTCCTTCTTCACATGCAGTATGAGTGTAATCAGCCATGCCTCCTGGGGCTGCTGGGGGACTGAGTGAACCCGCAGCAGTGATGAGCCAAGGGCCCGGATGCAGCAAGTGCTTGCTGTCTCCTCTGACCTGAGGTGTACACCCAAGGGACAGCTCAGAGCAGCGCCCCTGAGCTTTGTCTCATCCGGGGGTCTGATATGCACATACACTCTGCTCTACCCAACCTCTCAGAGCCTCTACTTTTGAATCAGTGAATTGCATCTACAGTCTGTACCTGAGATGTCTATCAGGGCTTGTACCTAGACCATTTTATTGATAGTAACATTCCCCCCCGCCCCCATTCCAATGGGAACCTGGGATTAGAACATCTGGCTTTGGTGGTGTGAGTGGTGTCATTTGCCCATACCTCCTTCCCCCATCATAAGCCACAGAGCTACTGCTTAGCCTTTATTGACAAAAGACACTTAGTCATCCAGCGCTACACCTACAGGGTGTTGGTGCTGCCTGAACACAGGCTCTTCATTAACAGCAACTGAAACAACCTGTGGGAGTCGTGGCACAGATAGTCGCTGAGCAGTACTAGTCCAAGGGACACACTGGGCTCTGTCCAAAGATCATGATGCTCAGCAGAAGGTTCCAGAACTTGAAAGGACTTCACGATGGGCCTTGAGCTACGGCTTAATACCGACCTCACAGAGAGGTCGGTCACCTGGCTGGCCCACCTCCAGGTTCAGGAACTCCAGACACAGAAGGCAAACATCAGGTGGCAGAGAGAAGAAGCTGGTGGCCTTGTTGCTGGTGGGGCAGTCTCTGCCTTCAATGGGAAAGCTGTCCCCAGCCACTCACAGCTGTCCCTGATAACCAATTGCCCCCCACAGCCTGCCGATTGGAAATCAGTCATTGGCAGAAAGGGAAACAAAACATAAAAATGGGCACGGGGCAAAAGAAAAAAAAATTGCTGATAAAAAGTGTTCTGGGCCGGTGAGATAGCTCAGCAGACTAAGCACCTGCTTAGGCAAGCACAGGGACTGGGGCTCCATCCCCGACACCACATGCCGTGCCAGCCCCACCCCTGGGCACACTGAGTGGACCCTGGAGACTGGGCGTGGTGGTGCATGTCCCAGCTCTGGGGAGGCTGAAAAAAGGAGGATTGCTACGAGTCCGAGCTGCATAGTGAGACCCGGTATGAAAAACATTTTAAAAAAAAAAGTGTTCTGCACTTCAGTCACTATGTAGATCAGCAGTCCCCAGTCTGCTGACTTTCCTCCAGTGTTTAGGGGCATCCTGTGCCCTAGTGCCCAAAGAGCCCTGCCCTGTTTCTCTCATTTTCAGCCCTGCTGGCCTTTTGGACCTCCCCAAGCCTCAGATCATGGTGATTTCCTTCCTAGGTGCCTATAGGGAGAAACTGAATCATGACTAGACAGTTAGAAAAATATCTGGTCTCTAGTATTAAAAATAGAATGTTTCACAGTTATCAAAAGTGCTTGCTTGTTCTAAAAAGAAGCCCAGGGCTGCCAAGAATGGGTGAGCCAGCGAGGGATGGGATTCACTGATAATTTAGGATTTAGGATTGCTGGAAGATGTGGAAGGATGGAGGAGTCTCCTAGTCCAGTGGGGTTCACGGGGTAACAAAATGGGTCACAATAAATATAAATAAATTTACACATGGTCTCAGTGCCTGGCATGGCCCAGGAGGCTGCGCTATGAAATCCTATCCTACTACAGGGGCTAGAGTGTGAGGCTCGAGCTGTCCAAGCAGGAATCATTGTTCAGCCTGTCAGTCCAGAAGTCCCACAGTGGCCAGCCCCTCTCTAGCCTTGGGCCCATCCTCTGCCACTATCGAGGGAGAGGTTTCATCCAGCTCAGCCTGCGCCCCACACCCACCCCAGAAGAGTAAGTGAAGGGTTTTCCCTCCCCGCTTCCCGCTGAGTGCTTCCATGGTGTGCCCAAGTGCTGTGGGTCACTGAGGAGCCCAGGCTGGAGTAGGCCCATCTTTAGGAGAAGGCCTGTCCAAGCCTTGTGGCTCAGGTCCCGGAGGCAAGAGAAAGGCCGAGCTGCATGCTCTTCGGTCCGTTAAACTTGGGAGGACCCCAGAAGGTCCCAGGAGGAGCCCAGGTGACCACAACCAGGCTGAGAGGACCTGCTTCCCTGACCAGCCTGCAGCCTCACCAAATGTTCAGGAGAGGCCTGTGGAAGGCAAGGGGTCTTCCTTCCAGAAACACCCAGGCCAGCCCTTACTGCCCAAGCCTGCAGCAGGAGGGCTCTAGGGGCAGAAGAGGCCATCAGCTCAGAGCAGGGCTATGGGCTTGTTCCCCGGGGTGCCCAGGTACTGGGAGGAGGAAGCGGCCCCTGACGAAGCCATGCTGTCCGGGGCAGAGTACGCAGCGTAGAGACCAGTCACCTGCACATCTGGGAAGCACTGCTCGCTGCTGCCAGAGACAGGGGTCAGGCCTGAGGCCGCCAGCTCGCAGCCACGAGGGGAGTCTCCGAAGGTCCCCAGAGTGTCCAGGCTGAAGCCCTCATCCTTCATCTCTTCCCAGAGGTTCCCTTGCAAAGATAAAAGCATTCAGGTGAGCTCGCTTCGGGTAAAACAGACCTGAGATCGAATCCCCCATTTTAGGAAGAGCCAAAGACCATGGGCGGTGTGTAAGATAACACTGTATGGTAGATAAAGAGTGTGGAGGACCCAGAGTTCCAGTCCCAGCCAGCCTCTTCCTAGCATGAGACCTTGGGAAAGTCACTTTTGTCTCTGAGCCTCAGAATAAAATGCAGATGATCAGAAGGTCTACGTCTGAGGGTCATTATAAGGGGTTTAACATGATGGTGTTTTAAAAGTACTTAGTTATAAGCTGGAGAGATAGCACAACAGTCTAAGCACCTGCCTGGCAAGCACAAGGACCTGGGTTTGATCCCCAGTACTGCATGCAGGGCTGTCCCTAGAAGCTTGGGCACGCTATGCTGGCCTCGAAACCAGGCATGGTAATGCATGCCTGTAATCCCAGTGCTGGGGAAGCTGAGACAGGAGGATCCCTTAGAGCCTGTGCCTGGAGAAAACTTGTAATTAATAAATAAATAAATAAATAGTAAAAAAAAATCACTTAGTAAGCTCTCTCTCTCTCTCTCTCTCTCTCTCTCTCTCTCCCCCCCCCCAGAACTGGGGATTGAACCCAGGACCTTTCACTTGTCAGGCAGGTATTTATGCTGCTGAGCTATCTCCCTGGCCCTAGCACTTAGTTCTCCTTACATGGTATCTCATGGTCAAAGCCAGGAGAACAAAACCACATTTCTCTTTGGCACACTTAACAACACAGCCATTCAGGGGAGAGGCAGGAAGGAGCACAGCTGTAACTGACTAACTAACCCACTAACTTGCTTGCCAGCCTCATTAGAGTGGAGCTGCTGGGTGAGGCTTGGGCGTTGGCTGGTGTACAGCAGGGGTACTCGTGTAAGCTGTAAGCAAATGGGCACACTCCCGAGCCTTCACTGAAACCCACAGTGTTGGCCAGTTCTTTCTTCACTTGTTCATTCACAACCTGTTCATTATTTATTTGACAGTACTGACACTTGAACTCCAGTCATTCACACTGAGTTACACCCTTCTTTTATTATTTTTTTGTTATTGTTGTTTTGAGACAGGGTCTCACTAAGACGCCCAGGCTGGACTTGAACTTGCAGTCCTCCTACCTCGGCCTTCCAGAGTGTCACATCTCAATTACTGACAAGGACCATGTGGCTAGCTATGGGACAGAGTATGACCTGACCTCAAGTTGGCATATGTGTGTTGAAGTAGTTACTGATGAAAACTTGGGGGCCAGACAGACCAGGGTTTAAATCCCAGCTCCATCACCGGCCAGGTCACCTTGGGCCAGGGATGCTTCTTGCTGCTTTTGTGTCTTCACTGGCAGGATGAGGATAGCAAATGGCAGTGGCCCCTGAGGACATGGCAGACTGGGATGTGGTGATGCTGATCAAGTGGTGGCTAAGTGTGCTGGCGTTAGGTAGCTGCTGTGGTGACGGGCCTGGATGAGACAGCCCTGTGCTCCCCTGTCTTCTGGCCCCTCCCTACCCAGCTCCCACCACCCCTCTCCTCCAACCTTACCCTGCAGGGCAAAGTCCATGATGCTGGGGTCCAGGGCATCCACCTCAGTGCTCATGTCAGTGCTGATGTTGATGAAGTCCATGGGGGCCCTGCCCAGGGCAGGCTGGGAGATGGGGCTGCAGCTCCTGTCGGGCAGGGCATGCAGAGGCGGAGTCTGGGCTGGTGCTGGGGAGTCTGGGGTTAGATGTGCCTGGGGCTGGACCTGGTGGTGCAGGGGGACGGATTGCAGGGACAGGGTCATCAGTGTCTGTGGTGGGAGCTGGGAGACTGCCAGGCAGCTGTGGGCCATGGCCACTGAGGTGGCATGAGTCAGCACAGGGGCCTCGGGCTCCCCTGGTTTGCCAGGGCGCCGGCAGCTTTCTGGCCGGTCCGAGATCAGCTTGTCCAGCTCCTCTGAAAGCAAGTGGGAGAGGTCACTAAGGATACCTTGCAGTGACCAGAGCCCAGCCTAGGCCTGGGCGACCTCAGCATGCCTCTGTAACTCTCCTCGTCTATGAAATGGGGTCATGCCCTGTACAGCATGACATCAGGAATGGCGTTGGGCCTTCGATTAGTGACAGGCACCAGCAAATGTTCTAACCCTTCCTCTGGTCGGTGCCTTACGGCACAGGCCTGTTACCTTAGCACTCCCTTGACCTCTGATGAGGCCTAAAAGGGACAGTGAGGCAGGAATTCTGGATCCCACAAGACGGGAGCAAGAGTTTTACCATACAAAGGTGGCTAGTCACTTCCTGTTACAAACACGGCATTAAGAAGTGCTGCTAAGGGTTAAAAACTACATGCTTCCTTAGGCATGTTGGCAAAGGGCTGCAATTCCAGCTAACCAGGAGGCTGGGATGGGAGGGTCACAAGTTCAAAGCCAACCCGGGCATCTTAGCCATACCTTCTCTCTCACAAATAAATAAATAAATGAGAGCAGAGGGATATGAATGCTCACCTAACATGTGCGGCACCCTGGGTTTGATCCCTAACACCAAAAACAAAACCAGACAAACAAACCCTGTGTCCTGTTTAGTATTCTTGGGTATAAATAAGTGAAAAGAGAAATGATTGTTGGCACAAGGTGGTTGGCTCCCGTCTCACTGAATGTAACACCACACGAAGCCTGGGCCATCAGGGTCCCAAGAATCTACGGGAGTAGCACAGACATTAGAAATGAGGACACTCCTAGAAGGTGGAATGACCTCCCAAGCCAAGTCCCAGAGCTGTATGGGGTGGACACCTTGTGCTGCCCTCAGCCAGGGCCTGTGGCTCCTACAGCATGTAGCCTATCTCCCCACCTTCTGAACTAGCTGCAGCCCCCCTCAGGCCAGACTGCTGGTTCCTGGGACTGGCCAAAGCAGCCTTCTCCTGTAGAGTCCCCTTGGATGGCCCCACTTCACACACTTAATTTTTTTTTTTTTAATTTTAGGGAAGGGTCTACAGGGTGTTCAGGGTCTTACTACTAAATCGGACTCATAGTGACTCTCCTGTTTTTTTTTTTTTTTTTTTAAAAAAATTTTTTTTTATTTAATTTTATTTATTTATGTGTATGTGTGTGTGTGGCCAGCTCAGCCCACCAGGGGGCGGGGCTGGCTGGCATGTGGTGCTGGGGGATTGAACCGTGGTCCCTGTGCTTTGCTAAGCTTGTTCTAAGTAGGTGCTTTAGGCCACTGAGCCATCTCACCAGCCCGACTCTCCTGTTTACAGCCTCCCAAATGCTGGGATTACAGGCATATGCCACCATGCCCAGTCTCAATTGCCATCTCAGCACACCCGGGGGGCAGGGCCAACACAGCAGGTCTGGGAATCGAACCCCCAGCCCCTGCACCTGCTTGCAGGCACTTTAATCTGCTGAGCTATTTGACCAGCCCCTTCACACACTTAATTTTTAAAAGATCAAATATAATCATCAAAAGTAATCCATGAACAGTGTAAATGCTTTAGCCAATGCAGAAATATGTGAAGAATAGAATTATCAGAAATCCAGACATGGTGGCATAAACCTATAATCCCAACACTTGGGAGGCTGAGACAGGAGAACTGTGAGTTCAAGGCCATCCAAAACAACTTAGCAAGTTCAAAGCCAGTCTGGACTACATATCGAGACCTGTCTCCAAAAACCAAAACTACATAAATAACAATAAAATGCAAATTATCAGTGGTTTCTCCACTCACAAATAAATGTTCATTCTTCTCAGATGAACATTCATATTTCTCTCTTTAAATAAATGTGTGTATTTGTGGTAAAAATGGGTCTGGGATATGATATATATATATATTAGATATTATATATATAGGTATATCTATATATCATAGATAGATGATAGATAGATAGATAGATAGATAGATAGATAGATAGATAGATAGATTTTTGATACAGGGTCTAACTGTGTACCCTAGGCTGACTTCAAATCACTATGTATAGAAAGTTGGCCCCCTTTTGCCTCAGCCTCCTGAATCCTGGGATTATAGGCATGTGCCACCACACCCAGATTACACATGCATTTTAAAATTGTGTACTGTATAATCATTAATAACCTTTCCATTTTACTCATTGTATTGCTATTTCTTTATATTCCAAAATAATTTTAAAATATTTTATCTTTAATATTTGCATGAAGGCTGGGGAGATAACTCAGTGGAATAAGTGCCTGCCTGGCAAGAGCAAGGTCCTGAGTTCAATCCCTGGTACAGCAAAATAAATAAATAAATAAATTTGCACGATATGACACCATATTTAACTGTAGAATGTTTAGATGGCTTTCAATTGTTTCTCGGGCAACTGAAAGGAAGTGTGGATAACTCAGTCCATACTTTTTTCCCCTCAAATCTTTGAGGTCCTGGGGCTGGTGAGATGGCTCAGTGGTCTAAAGCACCTACTTAGAACAAGCTTAGCAAAGCACAGGGACTGTGGTTCAATCCCCCAGCACCACATGCCAGCCAGCCCCGCCCCCTGGTGGGCTGAGCTGGCCACACACACACACACACACACACACACACACACACACAAATTTTAAAAAAAATTTTAAAAATCTTTGAGGTCCTTATAAGCGGTCAGAGGTGAAATAAAAGGACTAAATCATGAGGAGCGTTTGCAGGATGGTTGTTTGTGCTGCAGACTAAACCCAGTGTTGCTCTGCCACTGAGCTATACCCCCAACCCCTTTTGATTTTTTTTTTAATTTTGAGGCAGGGTCTGGCCAAGTTGCCCAGGCTATCCTCAACTTTGCAATCCTCCCCAAAAGCTGGAATTACAGACCTGCACCACCAAGCCTGGCCACTTTGCAGGGTTTAGATGCATTGTTTTGCCCACACAAAGTTTCCCAGTTTATGTCCCCACCCACTGCACAGGCAGATGCCTAGCTCCTGCATCCCAGCCCACCCTGGGTGTTAATTTTAAATGCCTCTTCTATCTCAGTGTAGTGCAGCATTTCTGCGCAAACAACTGGACGCGATGGTGAGCTAACAGCTTTTTATGATCCAGATGTCTCAGTTTGCCAGCTGTTGGGCAGGGATGGATACGGCACACTGGACATGTACTTCCCCATCATCCTGCCTGAGGTGTGCACACACCTGGCAGAGAGGTGATGGATGCGTGCGCACATATGCACCTGTTTACAGGGCCACGCATGTGCGCATGCGTGGTGGGATTATCCGGGCCTCACCGGGATTGGCCATGCTCCGGTGAATAGCGGCTAGATCCTTCCTCTTCCACTTGTGCATTTCCTCCTCCATCTTGTCAATGCGGGCCAGGTTCAGGGCCCAGAGACATCCCTTCCGTGAGGAACCACTCATCTTGTTCTCCACCTTCTCAAAACACTTGTTCAGGGACAGGTTGTGCCGCACGGAGTTCTTCCAACCGTCAGGAGCCGTCTGGGGGAGACGCAGGGCTCATAACCCTTTCAGAGACCACCCAGTAAAGCCCTTCCTGGCCGGGGTGCCCCCAAACTCCCTCCTGACAGGACAGGACACCATCATGGCAGAGATTTCAGGGCAGCCTCCGGTAGTCAGCGTCAAGTGACAAGCAAAAGAGAGGTCCACGGGGAGCACAATCGGCGGCTCCTGTTCCTACACGGATGCCGCCCACGCCCACTGACTAAATCACGTCATCCTCCGCCTTGCCCACTCAGCAGCCAGCAAGTGGGAACGGCTTTCATTCTCTGTGAGTACCTGCTCAAGTGAATTGGATGCAAATCGCTCTGAGATGCTCACGTTGTTGCTAGGTAACCAGATGCTGTGACGTACCCAGACCCTGCGTACACACGCGTGATGCTGCACTATTTCCGCTAGGGATTCTTTCCTGGCCAGGAACTCCGCAGCCGGGTACCCTCTGATCTCTTGCTCTTTTTGCTTTGCTGCTACCAAGGATAGCACTACTAATGGCCAAACCCTATGCCAGCAGCCACTGAGATCTCTTTGAGCAGAATCGTCATAAACTTGCCAACTGGGTGTGCTCTCCGCTTTACAGATAAGGATATTAAGGCTCAGAGAGGTGAGGGCTCTTGCCAAGTGCTACATGGTTTACTAAGTCTGTGCTGCATAACTAGACCTGTTCCCCTCCCCGTCCCCCCCCCCAGGTGCTTGGTGAACTCTTCATCCATCAGAGCTCAGTCCAAACACCCCTTCCCTTTCTCTTTTCTAATGCCTTTCTGTGCATGCACATGCGTGTGTCATTAGTTGTAGATATACAGATACAGCGGGGAGCCCCCCAGGGGGGGGCTTTGGGGCCTAGGGCCAGCCCTGGATTGTGGAAGTGCCAGGGGAAGATCAGGGTAGTTCTAGCACCCAACCACCCAACCATGGGTGGGAATCCTCACCTTAAAGTAGGGGAAGTGCTCCTTCATGAAGCTGTAGATCTCGCTCACAGGCAGGCTGCCTGTCTTGCTATTCTTCAGGGCCATGGCGATCAGACAGCTAGAGACAAGAGAAGGAACACAAGGGCACAAAGCGAACTCGTGTTGACACCCTGAGGTTCCTTCTGTCAGGAAGCCTGCCCTGCTGGCCCCCACATGAACAAGCTCCAACCTCACCTAGTGGACACTCTCAGCACCTTCCCCAGGCCTGTCTCTCCCACCCACCTCTTTTTATCTTATCCCCATAATTAATGTCTAGGGCCTTTAGAAAGCCCTAGGCTGCTCCTCCTTCCCCAAACACCCGAGATTCACAATACTATTATTTTGATGACTTTTTGCATTTGAGGAAAGAGGCTCAAAGAGGCCAAGGAATGTCCTTGAGGACACACAGCTTTTGAATAATGGAGTGCCAGCATCTGAAGTAGGTCGTGGACCCCAATGGGTAGACTGCCCCACTGTGGTTCTTTGTGAGAACAGTCCTACCTAGGGATTCTCCACTCCCCCAACCTCTCCCTGGAAATCTGGGTCACCTCCCCCAGCTTGTGTGGTCGCTGTAGGTGAAGTCCTTTCCCCTGTCTGTCTCCTCCCTGAGCCCCTTGAACCTCACCTCACCTGTAGGAATAGACGGGCTTAGGGTAGTGCTTGGGATGCGGTTCCTGAGGCGAATGCACTGCCACGTGAGCCTGGGTATAGGGAGGCCGCGCCCCAAATGAAGAGCTGTAGAGGCCCATAGAAGGACACTTGGGCAGACAGTAGAGGGGAAAAGGTGAGGAAGAGCGTAAGTCAGTCACAATCCCCACACCCCCACTCTGTGAGGCCCCCTCCACTCTGTAAGGTGGGCCGCAGGGGTTTACAGCCACAGAATACACTCTTGTCTCTGCCTGTGGAAGGAATTGCAGACACTGAATGGATGATTTCATGTCACAGGCATCCTGGAAATTATATCCCCCGGGTGGCTGGGCAGTGAATAGCCTCAAAGAGATCCCTGGCTGGCCCAAGACAGCGGCATGTGCCTCTGCGTCCAGGGCTTCTCTGAAGCATCATACCTGCTGGACCCCTGGGGGCAGTGGGAACGGCGCTTCGACAGCAGGGGAGTAGAGCTGCGGTGCATTCTGCAGACTGGGTGAGGGCTGGCCCCTGGCTGGATACTGGCTCATGTGCTGGGCCAGGAGAGCAATAAATAGAGGGTCAGGGTGACAGCAGGAGCCCCAGTCCTGGGTGGCACCCAGTCCATGCAGTGGCACTTACATTGGCCCTGTGGCTAGACATGGGGCCCAGACCCAGCATGCCTCGGGGGGCCATGCCAGCTGGGCTGTGGAGTAGAGGCCCAGGGGCGACTCCCACGTGCAGGCCAGCTGTCCCATCCAGGGCACCTGTAGGAGAAAAGGCAGAGAAGCCATGGGGCTGGCTAGACGGTAGCTATGGCTGCAGACTACAGCTGCTCCCCACCCACAGGACCAGGCATGGATTATACACTTGGCGAGTCTCCTTGCTGGGGTACAGTGGTAAAAAGTGGCATTCCTACCAGCTGTGTGACCGTGAGCCACCCTCAGTTTCCCCCTTTTATTTGTGCTACTAGTATTGCTTAGTAGCTGCCTATAAAATTGTTATGAGAACTGAATGAGATCTTCTATCAAGTATTCTTAACTATTGCCTTATTGAACCCAAGATAAAATACCAGTAGATATGAGCCCATAATAAATGAGGATGAGGAAGATGTAGGTGATATTAGATTCCTGTCACCCATTAGGTAAAACATCAGCTCATTATTCATACCATCTCATCAGAAACATTCCCTAGCTCCCCAGTGCTTCTACATTCAGTCCCAAATACTGCTATGCCTCCCCTCCCCTTTGCCAAGCCCTCTGCCAAGAATTAGCTCAGGAATAGCAGGTGTGAACTGTACCTCCTATGCTGGGTCTGTGAGAGGCACGGCTAATCCATCCCAGATTCTCACAGCCTGATGGTAGGCAGCCACCTCTAATCAAGCAAAACTCACATGCTAGGCTGCAGTGACAAAGGAAGGGCCTGCCTTATTTTACCCACTTTGAATACTATATTGCATCAGTATGGATGAAAAAATAGATCACAGAAGAAAGCTCTTGCCCAAGATCACACAGCTCTCCACCGGGTTTCTAGATTAAGATTAGGAAACTGACCAACAGGCCAAATTTGGCCCACTACCTGGCTTGTAAATAAAGTTTTACTGACATATAGCCACACCTACTCATTTACATATTTCTCTGGCTTGTTTTGTGCTGAAATAGCAGAGCTACAGATGGACCTACAAAGACTAAAATATGTATTTCCTAGACCTTTGCAGAAAAAAAAACTTTTGCTAACTGAACCTTGCTTTACATGTTTTGCTCAAGAACAATTTGCCCAATGAAATAAGTACTTCACTCTGATTTTCTTTTTTCTTTTTTTTTTTTTTTTTTTTTCCTGCATTTTGGGGAATGGTCTACAGGGCATTCAGAGTCTCACTACTAGATCAGACTTACAGTGAGGCTCTTGTTTACAGTCTCCCAAGTGATGGGATTACAGGTCAACATGCCTAGTCTCAATTGCCATCTCAGTGCACCCCGGGGGCGGGGCCAGCACGGTAGGCCCTGGAATTGAATCCCCAGCCCCTGCGCCTGCTTGCAGGCACTTTAATTCGCTGAACCATTTAGCCGGCCCTTCACTGTGATTTTCCAACACTTGGCACACCTGTAACATATTGCGGTGATTGCATTTTTGGTTATTATTTTGTTTTTCTTCAACATCGTGTGTGTTTAAACATTTAATCCACTTGCCAAGATTGTGACAAGCTGCCATGTACTACCTCTTGTGTTCCAGGATTCCAAGGCTTCTAGCAAAAGGAGCCGTACACTTTAGCTTTTCGGTAATTTTTTTTTTTTCTGGTACTGGAGATTGAACCCAGGGCCTTTGTGCAGAGCTACATCCTCAGCCTATTTTGGGGGTGTGTGAGACAGGGTCTTGCTGCTGTCATACCCAGAATGGGCTCCTGTTTGTGATCCTGCAGCCTCAGCCTCCCAGAGTGCAGGGATGACTCACACCAGATTTAAAAACCATTCTCAGCCCCTGCAAACCAGGCCAGGGCTGCATTTGACTTGGGCCACAGTTCGCTGGTTACCCTTCTTGTTCCTAAACCAGTCCCTCCATGGAAGGTGGATTTAGTTCCATTAAACAGATGTGGAAATAGAGCCCTCAGAGAGGCAGAAAGGACCTGTTTGTAGCCAAGCAGCCATGAAGGGAGGCAGAGCCAGGAGCCATCCTCCTCCTCCAGCCTTACGCTGCCCTATCCTAAAAGCCTACCTGGGTGTGGATGTGGCACGCCACCGTTTCCTGGGTTCACGCGGCCACTTGCCATCTGCTGCAGCCGAGGCACATCCACCGCTGTGAGCCACGACAGCGACTGCAGGTCCCCAGGGAGGTCATCATCGCTGGTAGAAGGCAGGAGTCTGCAGGGAGGAGCAGGGAGCTCGGGCGGGAGGGAGCGCTTCGGGCAGCAGCTCCTGGGGGCCCCTGGATTCCTGGAAGCACCCCCTGCCCCTCACCACACGACGCCTCTCTGGCCCTCCAACCTGCCCTGGGTCTCCCCACCCCACATCCTCCTCCGCACCTACTGCCAAAGTGACAAACACCGAGGTTCCTGAGCACTCACTAGATACGGGCTCAGCACTGTTCATGTCCTTTAGGTGAGCCCAGTCCGCACTGCCAGGTGCCCTAGCAGGCAGGCGTGCTTGTTATTGCCCAGCGGCTACAGCATGAGCAACCCTACCCAGCATTCCAGCAGCTGAAATGCTTCAGCGTTCAAACCCTTTCACTCCACCATGAGCTTACATATGGGTCACAGTCAGAACACAAGTATGCAAAAAGTACAGTGCACACTCAGCTTTAGGGTAGATGTGTCAGGTACAAATGAAATGTAAGTGAACTTTGTGCATCGAGCTGGGTCGCATCCCCAAGACAGCTCACTATGTAGGTGCAAATATTGCAAAATCTGGACAGTCTCTTATCTGAAATACTTCTGGTCCCAAATACATTGGATAAGGGATCCTCACCCTCTTCTCATTTTCCAGCAAGAAAGACAGGCACTATAGGATTTCCTAGGGACACTATGGTGCAGAGCAGCTTGGGATTGTGAGCCGGGTCCCTCCCAGCTTCCCTGTCAGAATTGGAGCCATCACAGCACCCAGGTTGCCCACCTCCAAGTTCAGGTGTTTTCCTGGCGTGCTGTAGCCTGTGTAGATTACGTGGAACATGGTGACATATGCCACGTGGAGAGAGCGTAGATAGCCAGCTCAACAGATCAGTCCTATGCGATTCTGCAGTCACTCTGAGACCTACAGTATATCCATATCCCCCTTTTGCAGGTAGGGAAACTGAGGCTTGGAGTCACTTCCCGACACAGGAAGCGGTAGAGCCAGAACTGCAGAGTTCAGTCTGCAGTCAGAGCTCTTCCCAGGTAGCACCGATGTCCCCCACCTCAACAGACATGTGACCAGGAAGATTGCCATCCCTGGAAGGAAGGAGGCTGCCACTGCGGGAGCCACACAGATACCCAAGTGGGGCAGCCCCAGGGGACCTGATGTGCTGAATGCCTCGGGCTAGGCAGCACCAGGCCTCTCAGTGGCATCTGGTCTGGGCTGTAATGCACGCAGCCTCCAACTGGGCCCAGGACCCTCACTAATACCACTGACTGTGCCACCCCCAAGGCTGGACAGTGTTGTAAGAGGCCCACAGTGCAAATCCCAGTCTCCCAAAACAGGAGTGTTAGGGCCACATGAAGCAGAGAGGGTGAGAGAGAGGACAGGGCAGCCAGGTGGTATCTGCCTTCCCTATGCATCTGCAAGCTGCCGCAGGGCACCGCGGCCCTGTCCCGCATCTGCGTGGCTGCCTTCAGCTCCGTCTGTCCTCCCCTCCTCTCTCTTCTCCTCTCTCCCTCCTCTCCCTCTCTCTCCCCCTCCTCACCTCCCTCCTCCCTCCTTGTATTTTAGGGCCACAATTAGCGTTGCTATGGCCACCACTGCTCAGTTGTCACAGGGCCCACAGCCCACGCAGCTGGCATCAGGTGACTGTCCGGCTGTCTCTGCCATTGGCTGCCTCATAGGAAAACACAGCCTGGAGATGATTTGAAAGTGTGGCTGGCCCATGTCATGTTGCGGCAGCAGTTGGCCCGGCTGCCGCCCCCCCCCCAGGCCCATTGTGTGACAAACGACTGTTTCCCCCGTGGCACGTGGCCCCATTGTCCTGAGGTCGCCATGCTATTGTTTCTGCGCACCCCACCTACCACCCCTTTGGCCTAATCGTAACTCATCGGGCTGACAGCCACAGTGCAGGCCTGGGTGTTGCCATCTGTCCCCTTAGGCCTTCAGAGACTGCGGGGAATGGGGCGAGATGGAGCAGCAGGGCCTGCTGGGCCGCCTGCTGGGGAAGATGCCCCCACTGCCCGCCCCAGCCCATGGCCGGCCAACCTCCCAGGGTCTGCTGGTGCGAGCATGTTCCTGCTCAGCGCCCTGCTGCGGCTCCCCATCGCCCCCGCTGCCCTGCCGGAGGAGGGAGGTGGCTCCCTGCTGGCACGTTTCTCAGGCTAGAGACCTTGCGAAGCCCCTGAGTAGTTGGAGGCCTTGTAAAAAGCCAGGCTCTCAGACCCAGCACGGAGCCAAACAGTGGACAAATCCCATAGGCCACACCTGTGGGGGAAGGCACCAACTCTAATCCTGGTTTCCTTGAGCTACTAAAGCTTAACTTCCCTCGGCCTCAGTTTTTCATTTATAAAACGAGGGAAATAATTGTTCCTCTCTTATAGGTTGTGATGGGAATTAAGTTTGTTATTACTTAGGAAACACTTTGAACAGCATCGAACAGTCACTGTGGTATGAGCACTTATTTAGCTGCTGCTACATCTGCCCGTGCTAACGCCTCTGCTAACATCAGCCAGGTGCCCAGGGGTCTGGAAGCTTCAGGCTTGTGGATCCTGCAAACCTGCCCCTGCCGCCACCAAGTGTTGCTATTTATTGAGCACTTCCTGGGTGGCACACCTTGAGTTCTCTGCCACCCCCATTTTCCATGTGGAGAAAATGAGACTCCGGGCAGGATGGAGTTAGGATTACTGAGAGGTGCTCAGCACGGGCTGAGCATGTGGGGGCGCTGAGGAGAGAGAGCAACGCTGAGGATGCTTTCATTTTCTTCCTCTCCTCTCGGGCTCCCCATTCCTTGGGCCCTGGTCCCTCTGCACCCACCTGTTCCACCCCGGCCTGGCACCCCTATACTCCATAACGACCTCCACCTTCGTAGGCCCCGCCAGCCACCCCTCTTGTTCTTCCTTCCCTTCTAGTCTATCCCCGGGGGCCACTTCACAGGGCCTCTTCAGGCCTCTTCACATCACAGGGGAGCCAGGCTGGGGGCAGGGCAGCCAGTTGTCCCTGGCCCCACTTGAGAACAGGTACCTCCTCTGGGCAGGCTGTGCCTCCCACACCCCCGGCTGAGTGCCCTCTGCACCCCAGGGTCCCCCATGCTACCCCAGCCACATGAGACTCGTGCTCCCCTCTTCCTGCCTGTGATTCCTCAGCCCCTTGTCACCAGCACCCCTACACATAGTGGGGGCCCTTTAAGAGTCAGGTTGTGGGTTGAAACAGGGTGAGTCCATGTACCCCAGCCTGAGAGTGCTGTGGCAATGGCTGTCATGCCCGGCACTTTCAGAGCCATCCTCTGCCTGCCGGGTCTGTGCAGAGGCCCCAGGAGGGGCACAGAGAGCAGGCACTCCTGATCTTCCGATGGGGACACTGAGGCTGGGCAGGTGGAACAAAAGCTCTGTGCTTGGGACCAGGGTCACCAGGACTAGAACTTGCATCTTTCTGCTTCAGTCTGGGGCTGTTGCTGGGCCCCCTGGGCAGATAGTAGATGTCTCCTGGAGGAGATGCCCCACCCCAAGTCCTGGGCTCCATAGTACCTGGGCTGAGTGACCCAGTACCACTACCCCCACCCAGAAATGGGTTCAATGCAAAGGAAGGCCTCTCTCCAACCTGGAGTTCCCTAGGGTCACCCAGATTTCATAACCTGAGGCACGGACATCCCAGAGTGCTGTGGCTGGGGCTGTGACAAAGCACGGGCTTCTCTGGGACAGATCTAGATTCAAGTGCTTTTGACTGCGGTGTATGGCCTTGGGTGGTCACTTCAGGTCCCTGAGCCTCCCGCCCTGGGCTGAGAAGACCAGCCCCTTCCACCTGCTCCTTCTGCTGTCCCTCTGGCTGTTACACTGTCCCACCCTCACATGTGCCTGTCCCTAAGTTTCTCTGTCACTGTGGCTGAGGAGCTTTAGGATAAAGTCCCAGCCTTGCCTTCCTGCTTGGCGACAATAGATGTGCTTCTGGATCTTTCTGAGCCTCAGCTTCCTCAGCTGCAGATGGGGTAGCAGCAAGGCAGGTGAAGCCCCCATGAGCGCTCTTAGCAGATTCTATCCTCTGCTCCTCTCTCATCTCTGGCATGGCCTGCAGGCCCCTCCATCCCCGTGGACCCCGCTCTATCCCACAGTCCCACTGTGCTCCTGGTGCCCACACTGCCCAGGCTGCCCCTTGCCACTGCACTGGCTTCTGGCAGCTCCATCCCCAGCTGACCTCCCTGTGCCTCATGCTGGGGTGGCCATTCTCTGACCCCAGAGCAGTGTCTTTGGGCCCCAGGAGGGGTGCACTGTCATTCTCACCACCTCAGTGCTTCATACCTCTGCTCTTTCTCAATGGATGCCTTTCCTTCTCCCTCTCCGTACCTTCTAGAATCTTCTCATCATTTCTCTGAGGCCCAGGGAGCCCTCCAATTGGCCACAGGCCTCCCTCTTTTAAGCCAACCTGGGGACCCCCAGAGCCCCAGCTCTCGAGGGCCTGAAGGCCTGGGGAGAAGAGACTAGGACAGCGGCTGAGTCTTCTGCTGGGTGCAGGCAACCCCTTGTGCCCCCTGCTGTGCTGAAGCAGGGAACCTTGCATCCAGAGGAGGAGCCAAGTCCCAGGGCCCCAGCAGGGGTCTGATGATTACAGAGAGGACTAAAGAGCGCGCACACCCAGCTTTCCAGGTGGAGTCACGCAGGAGTGAGTGGTTGGCTGTCCTCTGTGGACAGGGCTTGGGGCACTAAGCCCCTTGCGGGAGCGTGGCCCTAAGCCAATGCTGCTTACACATTTGATCTTGTGGCCCCACTGCCACCTTCATGACCACCCTCCCATTCCCCCAGTAAGGACACCGGCCTGGAAGCAGTGGCCTGCCTTGGGTCCCCCAGCCATGGAGCCCAGGACCCAGAAGACCACCTCTGGAGCCTGGGTAGGCTTGTCTCTCTCACCCCCATCCTTTCTCCTGGCTGGAAGAAACGTGGCCTGTGAATCTAGAACATCCTGCATGCACCAACAAGCGGACACTCGCCACGTGCTGTGATTTAAACTCAAACTCATGGCCAGCCAAATAGCTCAGTGGA